AAAAGAAAAAAACTAACAGTACCGAATACTGAGACATCTATCCAAAACGAGGTTTTCATTCATTCAGACACCTATGAAGTGCCAGGCATTTATTTTGTGTGCTAGGATAACAAGCTAGCATCGGTCCTCATTAAACAAATTATAACAAATTATAATTTTTGCTATAAAGGGAAAGGACCTGAGGGCTTTGAGAGGAGAGGGATGCCTATTTTAGTTGGTAGCTTAGGAAGGCTTCTCTGAGAAGGTGACGTTTACATTGACATGTGAATGAGGAAGGGGAGAAATCACTGCAGGCCACACTTGTGAGGGGGAAACTTGCATCCTGGAAGGAACTGGGAGAAGGCCAGGATGCCTACAGTCCCAGTGATATGTGACGCTATTACACACATTCATAAAAGTGAAGGCTATGACACCAGAACGTAAACAACAGGCTGGGCCGTGCAGCATCAGCAATGCTTGCTTGCCGTGATAGTGACAATCTCCTACTGAGCCCTGAAGCTCTTCAGTAGCACAGAGATGCAAAGAGGCAAAGTTCCCAAGGCAGGTCACACAGAGAAGGTCCTCTCTCCACACGTCCTAGTCCGTCTTTTCACCACCCCTTCTGAAGAGGGACTGGCAGCTCATGCTCTTGGGCCACATTAGGAGTGGAAAGCAAGTCCCAAAGTGGGGCCTTTACGGACAGACAGCTAGCTACTAATCTGGGGAGGCTGAGGAAGCAAGCACTGTGCCCAGGATGCGAGCTGAGAAGAGGCCAAACCAGACAGCATTTGGTCAGCTCTCCAGTTTTTTCCTCCCAGAAAAAGAACGTTAACAGTGTGACATGAACTGCCTGCCAAAGGAAGTTTACAAAGAATAACCACATTATTGGATATTTTTAGCCTTTCTTTTCAAAAATGTTTTGTGTCACTACTATCCAAATAATTCCAGCTCTTGCAAGTTAGCCAGAAGAAAAAATGGGATAGAGAGTGTATTCTATCGAATACACAGACGAGATTAGAGAAGGCTGGGGACTAACTTCTTTCTGAAATTCAGTTAAAGGAATATGCCTCTGTGAGTTTTGCTCACACAAACACAAAATTCCAACGGATTAATACCGTTTAGAACCAGAATATATCAGACCTGCAGGCGGGCTGTGCAAATTACCCTGCGATGGTCAAGATGGCTGACGCCAGTGTTTACATCGGATACTACAGAATCAGACATGAGTTCAGCCCACATACCTCTGATGTTGTAAACTGCTACCATTCCTTACCCCAGTGACCTGCATTCAGACTTCTAATGGAAACGCTAAGGGAAGAGTGCACCTCATCACGACTGGTTCTAGCAGTGAGATACAACCAAAATAAAGGGCCACAAAATGTGTGAATGATAAGGTTCTCCTCAAGGGAGAATCTGAAGCCCCTGCGCAGAGCCACGCAGACTTACATCATCAAACCATTCTTCAGCATAAGATTAAAAGTGTGGGTGGTTCAGAAGACAATCTCAAGTTTCTCAAGACTTCTTGACTATTCCATCTCTAAAGCAAAAATAGTACTTTATATCCTTCTTCCTATTAACTCCCAACAGCTCAGAAAGAAAGGTCACTACCTGAGCTAAGAAGTGAGAGGACATCCTCTGATGAATTATATTAATAATTTTAGGCCACTTCTACTCCTTGGCAATCTGAATATATTCTGTATTTATAGGTAATTTGATTTTGTTGGGAAATCAGAAACGGCAAATTATGAATTTACGGATTAGGAAGAACCTAATTGTTCCAGAAATGTAGAGAGCTGAAACACAGTGAAACCACAAATATTAATTTTGAGCACTGTAATAACAATATACGCCTACCAGGGAGCTGAAATATTTAAGAAACTCCTAGATTATAGATGTCCATATTTGCAAAGGGAAAATAGAATCTTAAAATTATTTTTATAGCAAAGGAGTAACAAAAATGAGATGGAATGTGAGTCAGAAAACCCGAGTTCCAGCCTTCCTACTATCTCAGTGTGGGCCTTACACAATTACCAGATAACAACTCACCTTTCATTAGGTTAATGTTTAGTTTAGGGGGTTCGTGGAAAAATTTTAAATAAGATATATTCGAAAATTGTAAAGATCCAATCATTGGCCAGGCGTGGGGGTTCACACCTACAATCCCAGCACTTTGGAAGGCTGAGGAAAGAGGATCATTTGAGGCCAGGAGACTAAGACCCGCCCCGGCCACATACCAAGGCCCCACTTCTTTTAAAAAAAAAAAAAAAAGCCAGGCACGGTTTATGCCTGTAGTCCCAGCTACTGCAGAAGCTGAGAAGGAGGCCTGCTTGAGCCCAGGAGTCCCAGGCTCCACGGAGGTATGATGGCACCACTGCACTCCAGCTGGGAGATAGAGCAAGACCTGTCTATTAAAAAAAAATAATGATACAATTATTAGCAAACCAGCAAAGCATTCATTCATTCAGACTAGTATCAGTAGGGTCCTAGGTGTCAGGTTCTGATCCTGACCCTGGGGATACACAGTAACAGTCAAAAAAGGCCATAAGTTCATTCCCTTTATGCCCCGTAGGCTTTTAACCCTTTTCCTCCTTTTTTTTCTTTTTTACAGAAAACAGGGTACAAAATAAAACTATGTCTATAAGGTTTTTGTTATTCTCAAGGAAAGAAAGCGGGTGGTGCCTGGCAAGAGAATAAAGAACTCTCTAGCCCTGCCCCCCACTCCTTTACCTCATCCTGCATTGACCACAAACACCTTGCTTTCTCTGGATATTTTCAAGACGTCTAGAAACTTCATTTCCCTAGCTTTTCTATTTGATGATGCAACATCAAAAGAAAAATCACTATTATCCCACGACAACAGCTGTATTTCCACCTCTCTAGACAAAAGATAAATTTTACACTACTACACTGCACGTCAGAAGTGCTTATCCTGTTTGAGACCAGCCTAAGCCAGAGCGAGACGTTGTCTCTAAAACAGCTGGGTGTTGTGGTGGGCATTTGTAATCCAAGCTACTCAGGGGGCTGAGGCAGGAGAATCACTTGAGCAGAGAGTCTGAGGTTGCTGTGAACTGTGTTGCCACTGCACTTTACTGAGGACAACTAAGTGAGACTCTGTCTCCAAAAAAAAAAAAAAAATTGCTTATCCTATTCTCATGACTGGCATAATAGAAGAAATATCCTATATAAAGAGTGCTTTTCTTCACATGTATGGTAAGTTTTACTTCCTTAATTCACAAATATTATTAAGAAATTTAAATATTCAGTGTCATTTCTTTAAATAAATGAAAATGTCCACTAAAATGCAGCATTTAGAATGTTTTCTCCACCTGGCAAATAACCCTTACAACAGCACCTTACATGTGGCCTTAAATACACAGGCAATAAAGCTTCAGAGAACACGTATTAAACTCTGCAAGCAGGGAACTATGTCTTAACTGTCCTGATTTCCACCACAACACTTCAAAATACACATTAATGCTGGATTAATTCTAAATACCACATAATAAGCAACATTACACGAGCATAACATGTACCTCCTCCGTGAGCATTAGGTAAGTGAACGCACACAACCCAGAACACACTATATGTAAACAAATCTAGAAAGAAAACGTGGTCTTTACTTTTTAAAGGCCTAAGGGTTGCTCATACAATTCCAACCTGGATCCTTTGACCCTTGTGAAAAAGCACCTTGCCTCGCACCTGGAGAATCCAAGATGCAGCAAGTGTTCCGGATCCAGGTCTGTAAGTGGACACCTCTGGGATAGTCTAGTTTCCGGTCAGGTCAAACTAGCAACGTAAGTGGAGGGAGAACGTGCCAAGTGCAGGAGGGAACGAGAGGGAGGCCAGGAAGGAAATGAAGGAAAGAAAGTAAAGTGAAAAAGGCACAAGGGCTCGAAACCTTCCCACAACTGGTGGGGGCGGGCGTGGGGGGCGCCTCGACTTCCAGTCCTCACGGTCCTCTCATGCCCTAAGGACGCACCCTGCTGAAAACCGAGACCGCTCAAAATGACCCGCAAACAGCGCAGCCCGACGCCCAGACCCAGGACGGACGGACCCACTCGGGATTAGCTGTCGCTGCTCAATAGTGGCACTTGACTTCAGCGGGCTCGTCGCCACCTCCCGCCGCCTTCTAGTTTGGGACTTAAGATGAACACTAGAACTTCCAAATCTTAGGCATTTCACCTGCGAAAGTGGTTAAATAAACGTAAAAGGGTCTGGCAAGGACACCCTGACACACCACACCACACAAACACACCAAATCTCAGCCTCCTCGCCCTGAACGAGTTTTCTTGCTTCTGGTCTGCAGGGTGAAATCCATATTGTTTGTTAAGAGCGACAGATTGGTCCTCTCGCCACCCCGTGCGACCCGCCGAACGCCTCCCCAGACGCGCCCAGGCCGGCGGGCCCGCCAGGTCCCCTCGCCAGCTGCCCAGTCGCGCGTCCCACGGCGCGCTGCCTCCAAAAAAGGAAGAACCCTCTGAAGATCAGCTCTCGCCGGAGCTCGTCTGCAAAACCTCTGGGCACCTACAACGCCGACCTTGCCGGGAACACGCGACCTCGAGTCCGGCAACCAGCGGCTTCAGGGAGCGCCACGACGGCCCCGGGGGAGCCAGCTCAGCGCCGCCACTCCGGCCGGAGCGCCCGAGGGGCCACAGAGCGCACTGACTAGGAGGGCAGAAGCCGGGCCCCCGGCTGCTGACCCAAGGCGGGTGGCGCCGGAGTGGCCCGGGACGCCTCCCGCCCGCTCGGAGAGGCTCCCACAGCCGGGGGCCCGGGGCGGAGGGGCAGAGGCCATCTGGTGCGGAAGGCACAGCCGGCCTCGGCCTCCCGCCCTCCCTCCCGCTCGCCGGGGAGCCCCACGCCCACAGGAACCAGCTCCCGGCACGTTCCCGGGACCCCAAAAGGCAAAAGCCCCTTCCCCGCTTCTCCCCAGCGAGCGCCTCGCGGAGACACGTGGAGTCGGGGCCCGGAGCGCGGGGGCCCGGAACTGCGCGCTGCAGCGCCCGGCGCGTGCCACTCACTTGAGGGCCGGAGCGGGGCTTGCCCTGTGGCGCTCTCCTGAAGAAGGAGGTCCTGGCGGTGAAGAAAAAGTCCTCGGCGTCCTCCTCCAGGCTGCTGTAACCGCTGCTCATGCTGCTGGCCCCGCCGCGCGCGGGCGACCTCCCCGGGGGCGGCCAGGCAGGGGGTGCCGCGCTTGCCCGCCCCGCGAGGTTGCCGGCGCCCGGCCTGAGGCTGCTGCGGGCCGACCTGCTGCAGCCGCGGACGCCGCTCCACC